CTCCACATTCTGTCAGTTACCCAGTCCTGTTGGTTCCTCTGCCTGTACTTTTCCTGCCTGTCATTTCTTTTCACGGTGGCCACTATATCCCAGCTCATGACCACAGCTCCATTCTCCCCACCCACTCCATTTGCTCTTGGATCTAAAGCCCAGGTAGCTTTGGTTCTGCCACTTCCTAATCCAAACCATCAAGCGGTTCTCCACTGCCTGGTGAAATAAAACTGAATGATGTGACGCTGGTGAAATCACCTTCATGAACTACATGTTGGTGCATTTAATTCTGGCCCTTTGGGGTCTGTTCCTTCTGTTTTAGGCTTATGTATCGTCATGCCCTGCTTTGCCTGCCGGCCTCTATGCATGCTGTTCTCTCTGCTGGAAATGAGTGTCAAAATCCCATCCTTTAACGCCAAGCATGATGCAACATACTCCCTACTCCTCTCTCTTCCAGCAGGGATGGTATGGTTACAGAACTCTGGCCCTGCCAGGTTTCTCACTGTTGGAGAAAAGCCACAGATGAGAAGGTGGTAAGGTTAGAATGAACCTTGTGGTGTTGGACTGGGATGGGAGGTACGGACTCATGGTTTTTCATATAAATACAGATAGATAGTGAAATAAATATGCATCTGTGTATGAGTGCTAGGGTTAGAAATATATGTGTATATTTGCTAGCCCTGTCTGCTGGGAGGGCCCAGAGGCAGTGACACCTCGGTAGCAATGAGCACATATAGTGTCCAGATCTTGGTTTCTAAATACCGTTCTTCAATAAAAGGAACCAGAGCTCCTTGGAGAAATTCCAGATCTAGGGCAGAGAAAGAACAAGATGAGCCTGGAATATCTTATGGTACCACAAAGTAAGTAAGTGCTCAAAAAAGAGGGGGGCTTCTCTAAAGGACCCAGGAACCAACTTGAAGGAGGGCCCAGTGGCCAAATCTGTAATGGATTATAAGCCATAGAATAAAATATCCATGAGTCCCTTCTGATATAAATAATTGAATAAATATGTACATGGGGTAGAAGGGACAGTTCTTCCTTACAATCGAATTCCAATTAATAAATGTAGAAGGAATAATGGAAAAAGAAAATCACCATTAGGCAAACACCATAGTAGTGATTGTTGCAGGCAAAAATTAGCAAGCAAAAATAAGGACATTTGCATTGCCTCAAACTATCTCCCCACAATACTTACTAACTACAAAAGGAAAAACAATAACTTTGTGGTGGATAAACCTAGTGGATATTACTTTAACCCCATGATCCAAGTTTACATCCCCAGTAGTAAGTCACTATCTCTTGATACGATGCACTGAGAGGGCCCAATGTCACCTGTTTTTTTCCTGCGTAGCCTCACTGTAGCCAGGAACAGACAGGCAAACTCAGACTGCGGGCATTCTACAACTTAATGGACCGATGCTCTTGTTCAAAAGGGACAGTTCTTGAAGACAGACTGAGCAACTGTCACAGATTGCAGACTGAGATATGACAGCACAATGCAATGCGAGATCCTGGATTGGAAAAGGACCTCACTGGGAAACCCAGCAAAATTAGTGAATAGCACTATCAATATGAATCTCCTGGTTTCAGTCATCTCATGTCATTAACAGGGGAAACTGGGTGAAGAGTAAATAGGAACTCTGCTATTTTTGCAAACTTTCTGTAAATCTAAAACTATTTCCCAATAAAAAGGGAGAAAAAAGAGCTCAGGCTGAAGCTACCTGGTCTGGATTTACAATCCTGCCACCACAGCTAACTAGCTGCATAATCCTGAGCTCTTCCAGGGTTGGCCCATCTCTAACATGGGGTGATAATAATAGCACCTACCTCATGGGTTTACAGACAGCCTGGAAGATGAGCCTGGGACATTTTGTGCCAGAAAAGAAGTGCTCAAAGAATGATAGAGACACATCGAAAGGCCACAGGAACCAGCATGAAGAAGCTCCCACTGGACAAGTTTGGTTAAACATCAAAAACTAAATAATGGCAGTTATGAAATATAATCCACTGCATACAATAAGAAAGCATGAGTCCATTCTGATATAAATTAATAAACTGAAAGTTCAAAGAGGAATAGGGTATTGGCATCTCAAAGTACTGCCCCCTAAGACACTTATTCATAATTAAGGAGTAACTTCACAGTGGAGGAGCCTGGCAGACATTAGCTTAATCAAATGATCAAAGTGAACCCCATCAGCAGTGGCACAAACTGACGACGTGCCTTCTGAGAAGGTGCAGCACCACCTCATGGTACTCCTACCCAAGGTGCATAACCTGAATCCCATCAAGAGGGAAACATCAGACAAACTCAAGGTGTTGGTGAATTTTCAAGAGTCAAGGAAAGACTAAGGAACTGTTCCAGACTGGAGATGAAAGGGACATGACAACTAAAGGCAACACGTGGTTCTGAACTGGATCCTTTTGCTATAAAGGATGTTATAGGAACATTTGGCAAAACTTGAGTAAGGTATGAGGATTAAATGGTAGACATGTATCAATTGTAATTTCCTGATTTTGATGGTCATATTGTAGGTACTTAAGACAATGTCTTTGCAAGAAATACACACTCAAGTGTGAGGGGGCATCAGATCAGCAACTTACACTCAAGTAGTTCCAGAAAAAAAGTTCTTATTCTGTACATGCAGATTGTTTAATACCATTAGAGTGAGGCCTGTATTCTTCCCTAGTCAGGGGAGATGGGATCCAATTTCTAAACTGCTAAGTGGCCAAAGGTTCAGATGAAGCCCACTTCTACGCAAAAAGCAAAGGCTTGGTGCTCCTAGTGGGGGACATTACATTTCCTCTGTGCCTCTGGGGCTCCCAGTTACCAAGAGGCAAGGAAAAGAGCTACTCATAGTAAGTGGTTAGCCCAAGACAGAGGTTCTCAGCCTTGGCTGCAGTGGAAATCACCTGGAGAGCTTTACTGTTCTGATGCCTGGGTCCCACCCCCAGAGACTGCTTAATGGTCTGGGTGTGATCTGGGCGTTGGGAGTTGTAATCCATCCCCAGGTGATTCTAATGTGCAGCTGAATTTGAGACCCACTAACTTAGGAGGCAGGAGTTAGCCGATCTATTGCTGCAGTAATAAATTATTGCACATTTAGTGGCTTAAAGCAACACAATTATCTTATAGTTCTATACAAGTCCAACACTGGTCTCACTGAGCTGAAATCAAGGTGTCAGCGGGGCTGCAGTTCTTTCTGGAGACTAGGGTGGAATCATTTCCTTGCCTTTCTCAGCTTCTAGAGGCTAGCTGCATTCCTTGGCCTGTGGCCCCCTTCTTCCATCTTCAAACCAACATGGCATCTCTCTGACCATTCTTCCAGTGACATCTCCCTCTGACTTCTTCAGCCGCCCTTGTGATTACTGGGCCCACCTGGATGACCCAGGATAATCTCCCTATTTTAAGGTCAGCTGATTAGCAACCTTAATTCCCTTTTACTCCGTGACCATTAGGTTCTAGGATTAGGACATGAACATCTTTAGGGGGCTGTTATTCTGCCTACCAGTCTGGAAATGTACTGGAGATTTTTCTTTCTTTAGAGGAGAATTGGTTACAATTTTAAAAAAGACAAAGAAGGGGGGCTTAGAGATGGAGGAGGAGAAGACAGACCAGATTAATGATGTAGGGGGTCAAAAGCTCACCCTAAGCAGAGTTTTGATTGGAAAGGGAAGCAGTGAAAAAGAAGGAATGCAGGAGGCATTCAGAGCAGAGCACCAGAGCAGCCTTCATGATAGTTATTGGGAAACTCGCCTGGAACAGCACTGAAGGTGGGAGTGGTATGGGCAGATTAAATAGATGGCTATCTAGGGTGTTCCTCTCCCAAAGGGAAGGGCCTTGAACGGCAGATAAATGCCTGGGCATTTCCTGGAAATGAGAGAATGACAGACAGCAAGGAATGGAGGCAGCAGCTTTGACTCTAAGAGCAGGTAAGGCAAGACTAGGGGAAAGGGCTTTTCTCCTCACCTCTCATCATCAGTTCAAGTGAAAGAGCTAGTTCGAACCAATTTTGTGGAGACAGTAACTAAAGCCACCTCTGTGGCTAATCCCAACACAAAATGCAAAGGTACTAGTTCCATTTTACAAATATTTTTGAGAAGTTAATTGTCCAAGGTGTTAACACCTATAAAGTGGCTGAACTGGATTTTTTTTTCTCTTTTCCCCTCAACTCTGTTTTTTATTATTATAGTCAAGTTCAAACACACAAAAGTAGAAACAATGACCCCTCTTGTACCTGGCTACAATGGACCAACTACTCTCTCCCCCTTCTTCCCACTGTTTTAAAGCTAATCCCAGTCATAGGTCACCTCTAAGAACCTCAGTATGTATCTCTAAAGCATTAAAAAAACCTAATTTCATTAACACATCTAAAATTTAATAAATCCCTAAATAGTGCATGTCCAGAGTTCAAATTCTTCTTTTTTTTTTACCGTTGGTTTTTCGCATCAAGATCCAAAGTCCCTGCATTGTTCTTGGTTGGTATCTCCCTCATGTCCATTTCACTTGATAGGTTCTACCTTTTTTTTTCTCCATGCAATTTATTTGAAGAAACTCGTCATTGGTTTCTGGAATTGTCCCATATTCTAGATTTTGCTGATGGTATCCCCATGAACCATGAACCACTTTAAAGTCTCTGAAACTCTCCTCACAAGGGCACTGTGTTTATAATAATACCGTGAGGACCTACCATCTGCCAGGCTCTTTATGTGTTATTATTACTTCTAACACCTCAGAACATATTTATCTTTTTTTGGTAGATGTAACCTACCCTCAGAGAGCATGCCCCCAGTGGCAAAGTTAAATGAGGGAGCCACTATTACAAGTCCAGTCAACCTGACACCACACCCACACCTTCCCCATTCCAGGTGGTCCCAATCATTGTATTATAAGATTGTCAATCTCAGTGTACGCAACTGGATGACAAGCCAATATTCACGGATAGCTATTCCCAATATAAGAATCATCCTTGCCTCCCCAAAAATACAGGAAAGAAAGAAGATCAGCCAACTGTGGGGGAAGGAGCCAATGCAATGGCTAGTCTTTACTGGAAAGAAGAAACTTTATAGCACATTTTGAGTAAGTTAGTGCAAAGATTCAGTGGGCCAGCTGGTGGGGCACCAGCTTGTAATGGGCTCCACAGCTAGGGCACCGCTGGGTCTCGCCTTTGTGCAGCCAGAACCAGATGACAGCACTGTTGTCTTCTTCACCTGAAAGGAAAAAGGTGGTTGAAGGTCATCCAGCCTAGAAGGGGAGACTTTCAATATTAATCTCATCCTCAGCCACCTCTGAGACACAAAGTTATGGCTGACATCTTAAGGAATCAGTTCAAGCTCTCCTCACCACTTTTCAGATAAAGAAACTGAGGCCCTGAGTTTACCTGTGAGTAAACTGACCTCATATCAGAGTCACTATAGTTCTAACAGTTCCCCTGCATATGTAGAATCCCAAAGCAGAGTCCATTCTGGTATATATTCCTAATGCCTAAAACGGTGTCCGGCAAAGAGGAAGTACAGTAAATATTTTCTGGATGAGTACTCCTTCATGCTGCATCTCCAATGAGCCAGTATTAAAGACAGTCTATGTCTCTTTACAGTAAGGATGACCTACTCAGGCTAATGAGGCTTGACTGCCAGGACCCTTAGAATAACTCATTTACACACATATCCTCTTTATACACATAAACAAAAGATTTGAAGCAGCTTGTAGACATCCTGTATAGTAGGATATATTAAATAAATGAATAGGGAAACAGTGGTGAGGTACTTACAGATGCAGCCCACTATCCGCTTGTTGGTGATGGAGGGGACTAAATTAGGGTCTTCCTTGGTGCCTGAAGCTGCCTTTGGGGCCAGTATATTGTATGGGTCCTGAAAAGACAAGAATTGAACCGTTACGTCAAATGACCTCTACCCTCTGGAGGCTAGCGGTACTGTTCCCACAAGCCAGGTTTCCTGGATCAAATGCTCCCAGAGAGGAGACTGCTCTGATCCCATCCGTGAGCTCCCAAGAAGACAAAGAAAGAGGTCTCTCCTCACCAATCCCTTCCGTGCAGCCATCAAGACCTCCCTTTCCAGCCCAGTCGCCTGCTCGTCATCAGTAGGAACACCACCTAAAGGAAAATACTGAATTAGGATGTCGCCTGAACTGCTCACGACGGAACACGCACATACATAAACCTTTGCACACAGTTCATAAACTCCTAAAGGCTACCCATACACATTGTCCCCTAAGGACCAGAGTCATGATCCCCAAAAGTGGCAGCACAGGGCATCTTTCTTCCTTCAACCACGGAGGCCAATATTTCACGACGTTTTTTTTTAAAAGCAGATCAATCAGATTGCTAGTGGGGATCCTCCAACATGAGGTGGGCGCAGATCTGAAGGGCGGCTTAGCCTCCCACATCCCGGTTGCAGTCTCCGTTGCCCAAGGTGACCCGGCACCTCCGTTTAGGATTCTTTCGCAGCAGGGTCAGTTCCGAGGGCGAGCAGAGGCGGCCGGGAATAACAGGGAGACGCCCGCGGGCCCGAGGCGCTCGGGGCCGTGGAGCGGTCACCAGGGCTCCGAGGAGCTGAACGGCCAGCCCCGCTTTGCCGCCTCTAGCCCCACCCCGCGAGGGCAACGGCGCCGGTGCTGGCGCGCCCGGCCGGCCGAGTACCTCCAGATGCCATAGAGCGCACGGCGGCGACTCCACGGGGACCGCGGGCCCTCAGGGCCTGCGCGGACAGCGCTCCAGCTCCGCGAAGTAACCTTGAAGCCATCACGCCCGCTACAAACAGCAGCACTTCCGAGGCCGGGCTCCAAAGACGGGCGGGACTTCCGGGGCAGGGCTCTTTGCCTTCGGCGTCACCCTTCCGCTTCCGCCCGCCTGGGAGCCCGCCCCGCTCACGTGACTCCGCCTGCGGCGGCAAAGGCTGCGCATGCTCAGTTCTGCCTCGGTACTTCCGCCGCGCAGCTCCGAGGTCAGAGTAGCTGTCACGGTCTCCCCTGTAGGTTCTTGGGGCTTAGCGCTTTACTAGTGCGGAGATGTGGAGTAAGTCGTTTTGCGTCCCTGGGACTCAGTGACCTCGTCTGTCGAGAGACTTGCTAGACCCCAAATGATCTAAATTTTGGAGTAGGCTCCTAAAGGCCACTGTGTTAATTTTTACGCTGGTTCATCTGGCAGTGGGTGAGCCACCGCGAACTTGTTCCATTGCCCCAGTCCTTAAGAACTTGGGCAGGACCTACCCGCAGCCTTAGCATCAATTTCCTGTTACAGTTGTGTTGAGGTGATGAGGTCATTGCAAGTGAGGTCCAGCCCTGAGGCGGAGCCCGCGATGGGGAGGCGGGTAGGGCCAGATTTAGGACCCCTCCCAGGACGAAGGCTCTTCGTGATGTAGGGGAAGGGGTGGACACACCGGGAAGTTATTAACCAAGGAAGAGGTCAAGGGAGGGGGCAGCGGGAAGGGGAATTGATAATGGGAAAACGGAGTCACAGAGCGTTCTGGGACCAGAGTTCTCTGTTTAAAACTGAAAACATCTTCCATAGCTCCCCATTGCCCACAAGCTAAAGTATGCAAGCTTCTTAGCAAGGTGAAATTCGAAAGGCTTTATAAACACTGCCCTCCATCGGTTCCTGGGACTGTATTCACCTTGTCATATAGCCCTGTCACACTCTGGCTGTGTGCAATATCTGTTTCCCTACCAGACAGGAAATCCCTTCAGAGCGGGTATTATGCTCTTTCATCTTTGACTCCTCAGTTCCTTGCAGAGGCCCAGAGATCAAGTAAATTTTAGTAAATTCACTTCTTGGACAGAATATACAGAATCAGTTTTGTAGGGCTTCTCCTGGCTCTGTAGGGTCAATTTGAGGTAAATCGGGGAGGGTTGAAGTCCCAGGTGTTCCCACCTGTCCTGTGCAGGTTATATTTTCAAAAGGACCAGGTGGAACATTCCTACACAGGAGCACATCTAGTCTTCATGGGTGCCCCCTCCACTGAGAAAAAAAATGGTGTTTATTTTGAGGCCAAAATTGTCTTGATCCTCTTTAAAAGTGGGTTTGGCTTTGAATGGCTTCCACTGTTACTCCCTTCTCTCTTACCTCCACTGCAATCCCTCAAAATTAAATTGGAAAAAAAAAAATTTCCTTAAGTCCTATGAATGTTCCCCAAGAATCTATAGTTGATTTGTACCTGTGGTTAGATGTTGAATGCTGGGAAAAGAAGCATTGGTCCAGAAGACAGGTGTTCTGGGATGGAACCCCACCAGCTAACTTAGCCGGTCACCTTTTCTTTTGGCCACCATAACCTCATCAGTAAAACTCCGATTAGTCTAGATGAGTATTTCCCAAAGTGTATTCCATGGAATCCAGAGAGGGGATGCTCTCAGTAAAAAGGACTCGGTCAAGACACTGTCAACGAAAATAATCCATAACCAATCTATAAATGAAAATTTGGGTGAGTTTCTTCTGAGCTAAAATGTGAGGACTGTGGCCCGGGGCCTTCCTTCCCAAAGGAAGAAAGGGCACCAAAGTAGGGTGTACAGAGTGGTTATATACCCCCAAAGAGGATGTCTCACATATGACTGAAATGTCCCTTTTACAATAGTCGTGAGACTGCTCTGTCAGCACAGTGATGATGGACACAGCAGGGTGGCAGGTCTGCTGTCTCAAGCTGGGTGGTCACAGGTGAACTGGGTGGTCAAAGATGAGTGCAGCAATCAGTTCCTAGCCTAGGAAGAGGTGCTTATCCTTAAGGAAATGCCAATGTGGGGGAAGTTGCACTTTTATCTTAAGGGCATTTGTTCTTGCCGTAGTAAATGATTAAAGCAGATATACAATGCATGCTTAATGGCCACGTCAGGCCCTTTTGGAAAAGCAAAGGCCGAATTAGGTTTACACCAAATGGCTTCCTCACATGCTCCAATATATCCTGTTGCTTGCCATTTCTATTTGTCAACACGGAAATCCTGCATTTGATGACCACCCTCTTGGGAATGTACATTCTAGCATATTAAAGTTTCTGATTAGGGCTGAAGCAGAGAATCCCGTTTAATTTACCTATGGTTTAAGCCAGAGTTTTCCCATCTTAATTGGCCACTCTTTCCCAAGGAATACCTACTAACCCAGCTCTCAGCAGACCAGTGAGAAATTCAGTTCTGATGTTACAATTCCCTGCCACCTGACCATATATGGTTTATTCCAGGCTACAAAATGGAAATAGAGTTTAGGCTTGTTTCTCACTCTCACAGTAGGCTTGCCTAATCATAGGACATTTTTGCAGGTTCTCATTCAGCTCACAAAAACCCTGGGATTGGGGCTGGCCCCGTGGCCGAGTGGTTAAGTTCCTGTGCTCCGCTGCAGGCGGCCCAGTGTTTCGTTGGTTCGAATCCTAGGTGCAGACGTGGCACTGCTCATCAAACCATGCTGAGGCAGCGTCCCACATGCCACAACTAGAAGGACCCACAACGAAGAATATACAACTATGTACTGGGGAGCTTTGGGGAGAAAAAGGAAAAGAAAATAAAATCTTTAAAAAAAAAAAAAAAAAACCCTGGGATTATTTAGACTATATGGGAGAGCTCCAATGTGAGGACCAGGCTTCAGGGTATCAGCCCCATCGCCTGCTGTCTCTGCCTCCCACCACCCTCCGCTCACACCCCTGCCCCCAATGCCTCCTTGGGAAATAGTTTGGCTTGGGGAACAGTCTCCCACTCCTGCTCCATCATTGTCTTTGCCAAAACAATAAACTTTTATTGAGCATTATTTTTTACTTTTATAGGATAATTTGTAGTAGTCAAAATAAATGCACATTGTAATAAGTCAAACAACATATATGTGTAAGAAAATTTAACTTAACAATTTTGTGCTTATCCCTTGTTTCCTTTCTCTGTGCCAAGGTTTCGCAACTTTAGCTCTGTTGATGTTTTGGACTGGATGAGTCTTTGCAGTAAATGGGGGTCGCTGTCCTGTGTGCCTTGAAGGATGTTCAGCAACTATGCCAGTAGCACTCCCCAGTGGCGACAACCAAAATTGTCTTTCGCCCTTGCCATGTGTCCCCTAGAGGGCAAAATTGCCCTGATTGAGAATCAGTGCTCCATGCTCATATAAACATATTCAAACAAATGCACATATTTGGGATGTTTCTTAAAAATGTACAGATCTATAAATGAAGATAAAATACAAAAATATGTAACTACTATACAAACTATTAGTAAGTTGCTTTTTTCACTTAAAAATATTTTGTGGATATCACAAATCAATACATAGATCTAATTCATCTTATGTAATTGCTGCATAATGTTCCCTCCTCTGAATGCACTACGATCTACCTGACGTTTCCTCTTTGATGAATATTCAGAGTTTCTGGTTTTCTGCCTCAAACAATGGTGCAATGCACGTCTGTGTACGTATAGCCTTATATTCTGGAGCCTTCATTTCTGAGGAATAGGGCCAAAGAATGTGTACATTGAACATTATAACAAATTCTGCCAGGTTGTATACCCAAAAGTTTGGAGCAATTCATGCTCTACCAGCAGGCGTGTGAGTGCCACTCCCTGCCTCCATGCCCTGACCGTTACCGCCTTTTACAAAGTTCCCCCAGGAATGAGTAAAAAAGGAGATGCTGTTGCTGTTTGCATTTTCGGTTCCCTGACTTCTAAGGCAGCTGAGCCTCTTTTAGTATGTTTATTGGTCATTTGCATTTCCTTTGCTGCGAACTGCAGAGCTCAACCACTCGGGTGGGCAAGCTCCTTAACCTCTTTTTTGCCTCAGTTCCTTTTCTTTAAAATGGGCATAGCACCACCTCTGGGGCTGTTGTGAGGACTAAAGGTATTAACACTTGTAAAGCACTCAGAACTGTGCCTACCACATTATAAGCGCCCAGTTAATGCTGGCGTACAAACTATTTAATATATTCATAGTTGCTTGTGTTTACCTAGAGGAACTCTGGGAGGATGCACAGGAAACTAACACAAGTAGCTACCTCTGTGTATGCACGGGTTGGGGGGACACGACACTGGGCCCCTGAGGGCAGGGGTGGGAGTGAGACTTCACTGCAGACCTCTCATGCTATTTGGGGTGTTTTAACTATGTGAATGGATTACCTATTCAGAAATAAAATAAACAGTTTTTTAAATTGTCTATTCATATTCTTATTTGGGGAGGTTGTTTATCTTCTTGACCTTCAGAGACGCTTTGAATGTTAGGAAGATTACATCCAGTCCTTTCCACGGGCCAAGGCTGGTCACTATTCAAGAGTGAGTAAAACGTGGTTTCTGCATGGAATCTCAAAGTGGAAGGGCAGGAGGTTGTTCTTGATTTGGGCAGAGTTCACACAAGCTTGAAGTAATGTGGTCAAAAAGGGACTTAATCTGCATTTTTGTCACCCGAAGGAGCAGCTCCGACCACAGAGGCCCTGACCACTTAGAAGGTACAAGTCAGGCCAGTTTTTAATTATAACAGGGAGTCGGGGAGATGGTTGCTGAACGCAGGCCTGCCCAGATCCCACATCAGCTAGGGACAGTCCAGAACCCCGAGGGCCCCCTATGGAGACCTGATGAAGATGTGACAAAGTGGCTTAACCTCCGGCAGGCTGCTGGGAGCTGGGACCCTTCCTGCTGAAAAGCCAGGTCAGAACAAACAGAACGTTTTTATGCAGATGCCTCAAATCCAAAATGGGTCGCACGGAACAGCTGTCAGCATGGGGCCTCGCCACAGTTGGGGCTGAGGGATCAGAGGAGGTTTCTTAATTAAAGGTTTTCTGTGTATGTGGTTTTTTAAGAAATAAAAGGAGTCTGGTGAGCTGACAGGCAGCACAGGGCACCTCACACAGGAGAA